TTAATACCTTCTCCCAAACAGCAGTCATTATACAATTGCAAACTCCTTTTATTTTTACAGTAGTGACAGGAGACAGTAGGACTCACATTCATGTGATAAACTATCCATGCTTATTCATTCATTCATTCATTCTCTACTAAGTCATTCATGATCTGGCCCCTGCCATCTCTCTAGCCTCAGTCAAACCATGTCCCCCTTGCCATCCAACAACACTGACCTTGGTTCAGTTCCTAGTAAGTTCCATGCTCCCTTCTACCTCAGAGCCTCTGCCCAGAACATTTTTCTCCCCATTCCCAACCCCTTCAAATTTCTTCGGGGAAGCCTCCTGAGGTCACCACTCAGACTATGAGTGATGTCCCTATTTACAGTCTTACAGCTCCCCCATTTTTTTTTCTACCACAGTACTTATCATATTCATAACAATATATTTGTGTAATTATTTGATTAATGTCTGCCTCCTACCCCCACACCACTTGACAATAGGAAGGAACCATGTTTTCCTTGTTCACCATTAATATTCACATCACCTAGCACAGTGCCTGCCACATAACAAGTGCTCAATTAATACTTATTGAATGAATAAAGGAATTACGTTTCCAGGAACATAACCTCTTGGCAAATATGTGAATCCAGGTTACACCATATCTTTCCTTCCAGGCTCCAGTTAGTAGGTCCTTAATCAACACTTTTTGGTTAACTGAAATCAACAATCACTTATCTACTGCAAACTACACTCTCCTTGTATCTATATGACACTGAAATAACTTGTTGCAAAATTGCTAGCAAATCAACGGCTCTCTTTCTATTCTTTTTTGCACACACCAATAAAAAAGCAATTTTATTTTTCTTTTCACTGAATTTATTAACTGTTTTGCCATTAAGGACATGACTGGGTGGAAAACAGTTGGCAGGGAATCAATTATTTAGATGAGCAGTGTTCTCTATATATTTGAAAACATCTGGAAGCATACTTTAATTATCCTCCTGATATTTGGGGTCTTGTGGTCTCAGCCTCTGAGATAATCTCTCCCTGTTACTGTTCCTGAATGGAAGGTATTCTGTTGACAAAATAGATGTTTTCTGATAAAGGGGAATTTATGAGACATTGACAATAAAGAGTAGTGAGCTCCCAGACTAAGAGGGCTTCCCCCGGCTCTGGGGAGGAGGAAAGAGGTCTTTAGCGAAAAACCTGCAGAAAAATGTAATTCTAGGCAGTATGGTATAACTGAGAAGCTAGTCACATAGGGAGCATAGGGGAAGAGTATGGATTTCTTAGGAATCCAGACAAAATGATACTGGCCTCAGGGGGCTAAAGAGAGACACTCAAACAACAGGAAATCAGTAATAATTATAAACCTAGAATCTATTCTTATACCTCACTTTAAATTGTTTCTTTACATATACCCTCCTTATCTATTGTTATCAAGATCTCTGCCACCAGGGAATTTTTACTAGAGTGTCTGGAATTCTTGAACAGAATTCCAGGAAGCCCAGGAAATTCGGACAGTATTTGCTAACTTAGGCCATCCTTTTGAAAAGCCCCACTTAAGAAGTTTAGTCTCTGTTAAAGAGGTCAATCCCACCTCCTGCCTTGTCCACTACTCTACAGAACAGTACCTGGGCAGGGCATGGTTTCTTCAACTGCTCGAGAGTTTTTCTGTCAACTTCTCATCCCAATCATCCTCCTTTGCAATTGGCAGTTGCTGTGAATCTATGGCATGAATGCCTACAACCTCTGAAGTACAGCTTATTTGGGGCTCACTGTAGAAGAGAATCTACAGTGAGGAATCACCTGCCCCTGAGATCACAGACAAAGAAGAGAGACAGGACACTTGAGAAGGAGCAGAAAAGACCAGAAGCTAGTAGCAGACATACTGATTCTCCACATCTCCATACCAACAGGAAGGTTCTCTCATTGACTAGTACTCATCCTTTACTGTCTTTAGGCAAGAATACACATTTTCCTATTAATCTTTAAATGCCTGCAGAACTAATACAATGGCTACTATCATTTCTAGAGTTGAAATATCCATAAGTAGTTCAACCAGTATATTATAAAAAGAGAGAGCTTCTCAGATTGCCTTATCACTACCAACGTTTGCTCCTATCTTTGGTCTCCAGTGGAAATGCCATGGGATTGAGATTTAGTTCTCAAAGTCATGAGAAAAAAAAAAAAAAAAATAGAACATTATGTTTTCAGTCTAATCTCTAAAATCTATAGAATACTTCAACAACAAAAAGACAAATAAGCCAATTAAAAAATGGGCAAAGGATATGAACAGACACTTTACCAAAGAAGACATTCAGGTGGCTAACAGACACATAAGGAAACGCTCATGATCATTAGCTATTAGAGAAATGCAAATCAAAACTACAATGAGATACCATCTCACCCCCACATTATTGGCACAAATCAAAAAAATAGAAAATAACAAATGTTGGAGAGGCTGTGGGGAGATTGGAACTCTTATGCACTGCTGGTGGGAATGTAAGACGGTACAACCACTATGGAAAATGATATGGCGGCTCCTTAAAAAGCTAGAAATAGAAATACCATATGATCCAGCAATGCCACTCTTAGGAATATATCCTAGAGAAATAAGAGCCATCACACGAATAGACATATGCGCACCTATGTTCATTGCAGCATTATTCACAACAGCAAAACGATGGAAACAACCTAGATGCCCATCAACAGATGACATGGATAAACAAATTATGGTACATGCACACAGTGGAATAGTACACAATGATAAAGAACAACGATGAATCCGAGAAACATCTCACAACGTGGATAAATCTGGAGGGCATTATGCTGAGTAAAATAAGTCAATAACAAAAGGACAAATACTGTATGAGACTACTATTATAAAAACCCAGGAAAAGGTTTACACACAGAAAAAAACAATCTCTGATGGTTACGAGGAAGGGGAGGGGTAGGGAGGGAAAATCACTAACTAGATAGTAGACAAGTGTTAGTTTTGGTGAAGGGAAAGACAATGTACACTATATGGGAAGTCAGCACAATTTGACCAAGGCTAAGTCACAGAAGCTTCCTAGACACATCCAAATGCCTTGAGGGATGGAGTCACGGGGGCTGAGGACTGGGGACCATGATCTCAGGGGACATCTAGGTCAATTAGCATAACATAGTTAATAAAGAAAATATTCTACATCCTACTTTAGTGAGTCACATCTGAGGTCTTAAAACTTGTGAGTGGCCACCTAAGATACACCTATTGGTCCCATCCCATCCGGAGCAAAGGAGAATGAAGAAAAACCAAAGACACAAGGAAAATATTAGTCCAAAGGACTAATGGACCACATGAGCCACAGGCTCCACCAGCCTGAGCCCAGAAGAACTAGATGGTGCCTGGCTACCACCACTCTGACAGGAATCACAACAGAGGGTGCTGGACAGAGCGGGAGAAAAATGTAGAATAAAAATTCAAATTCCCAAAAAAAATACCAGACTTACTGGTCTGACAGAGACTGAAGGAACCCGAGATTATGGTCCCCAGGCACCCTGCTAACTCAGAACTGAAGCCACTCAGGCCTATAAAATAAACAATAACACACGTGAGGAATGTGCTTCTTAGTTCATTCAAGTATGTGAGATCAAATGGGCAACACCTGCCCAAAAGCAAAGCCGAGAAGGCAGGAAGGGACAGGAAAACTGTACAAATGGACATGGGCAACCCGGGGTAGAAAGGGAAAGGGGGAGAGTGCTGATACAACCTGGGGGTTGCAACCAATGTCACAAAACAATCTGTGTATAAATTTTTGAATAAGAAACTAATTTGTGCAATAAACTTTCTCCTAAAGCACAATAAAATAATAATAATAATAATAATTATATTTTGCTTAACCTAACTTCAAATATTTTATGACTGTTTCCCATTAACAGGACTGGTTTCCCAGATTTGGAATAAAGGTTTTTCACCTTCACTTTCTGGTTACATCCAGATAAACCATGTTGCTCATCTAATAAATAAATAACCCATAGAGACTAATAATTAAACCATAGAGACTTAATGGGGATGAAGGAAGTAGGATGAAAAAGAGTTAAGTATATTAAAGTTTAATTTTATATCAACTTATCTTCCTTCCCTGCAATATCAATAAAATATAAAAGAAGGGTTTGCTCTTGCCCACATGTATTTTTGCCATTTGTTCCTTATACAAAACTATTTGACTAAGTAACTATTAGATGAATATTCATGCCTTCTTTACCAACAGCCACATAAAGTATTACTGAGGCCTAAGGCACACTACCATAACTACAAATATTGGCTGGCTCTCATCTGGGGCCATTAGCTTATTTTGAAAAGTTTCCAAGAAATTCATATACTAGTAGATTTCTTCCTAAAAGCCAATTTCCTAAATATTCAATGAGATGGCTTTTGAGACCCATATCAACAAACTAGGAGAGTAAAAATGTTCCTGTCTTAACAGGAAATACACTATTGCTGGTGCTGCTGCCCCAATTATACTATAATAATGACTTTCAAATAAATTTTTTTCTGAATTAGAAAATCTTCCATCTACTTGCTGCACAGTATCCTTTTCAAGTTTCCATACCCCATGAATAGATTTAGAAAGTAAGGAGGGGCCTGTATTGTCTTTTTTCTAGGAAGCAACAAGTCAGGTTTTTACTTCATTATCACATCTCCTAAGTTTTTTAGTACACTTCTTCTTTAAATAAGCTTTCCATTTAACCAGAGTCATTACAGGAAAGAATAGAATTCTTTTTGTTTTAAATTAGAATGGGTGCTCAGCTTTCTCTTCAGTCACATACAAATTCATCAAGAATTAAAAATGGAAATGCATACCCCACGACAAAGCTTTAATGCTGGAGACAAACTCCCATTTCCTACTCACCAAACAAACATATAAACACATAACAACCGAACTAGGAGACAACATCTTTGCATTTTGAATTATAATCGACACAATTTAAAACCAGGGCACTTCAGGAGGTAAGAAAAAAGATAACTCACAGTATGCAGTCACGCGGCACCTCAGATCTCAGAGCCTTCCACAGTATCCACAGATTTTATCACCAGCAGTTTAATGGTCCTGCAAGTGGGATCACTCATAATTAATGAGTATTTTACTTGAATATTTGACAGCTCAGTTAGAAGTTTAGGTAAGGCTGTTACTTTTATTTCCTTTGTAGTTGACTTTGCAAACAGGAAACAGGAAGCACACCTACAAGAACACTGACACATTGCAGCCTAACTGGTGTTTGGTTCAAAGTACTCAAGGGTGAGTCTTCTACCACAGGGGTCACAGGCAGAGTCCCCAAAAGAGCAGGAGTCAGGCCCCTGCATTTCACGGTCTAAAATCCTTTGGATAGATGCTATGTAAGCAATTTATTACAGAGAGAAAAGGGCATTCTTAGCTAACATGAAAGGACTTTAAACTTCAGAATAACTTATGTATTCTGGAAAAATTATACACATAGGTAATATATTAAATAATTTATATTTTAAATATACAAACTATTTAAATAGAAATTTAAATAATGTTTTATATGTTTTATTTTCCTGGAATATATCTATACAAACCACCATTTAGGAATCTTAGTTACAAGTAACAGAAAACCCAACTTAAACTCGCTTATACAAATAAATAAACAACAAAATTTTAAAAAACGTTTTGACTCATTGAGCTAAAAAACAAAAACAAAAAAACTAAACTAAAATCAGGTTGGTTTCGGGTTTGCTGCATCATTTAATTTTGTAGCTCTCTTGGTATAAGGCTTCTCTGCGGATTGACTTAATCCTCAGGCTGCCTCCCCCCATGGTGCAAACATAGCTGCCACAGTTCAAGACGTCCTATCCATCATCCTAGAAGATAGTATCAGCGTTCATGGTATTCCCAACAAAAGTTACAAAATCACTCAGATTGCTCGTTGGGGTCTAATATGCTGAATGGCTTAACCTAATCAAGGCTTATCCCTGGGGCTGAGGATAGGGTCAGTGCAAACCAAAGACACCTAAATAGGCAGTCAGGTACTGAAAGGAAGAGGGGAGGAGAAATGGATGCTTGGGAGGAAATTAACAAATGTCTATCACAGTGATGTTCGACAGTAATCTGAAGACTAATATTTGAGAATGTGTGCTCATGCAAATACTAGTTTTTGGATTATCTAAAATGTCTGAAAAAGAATGAGCAAGGTTCAAGAGAATTACCCAAGGCTTTACATGTGTAAGAATTTCTATTAATATTGGACTTGCTCTTAGGATAATAGTTCAGAATATTATCAATTTGTTTTTTAATACACACTATAGTGTACCAAGTGCTATTGCATTTGATCTGCACTAAGGAGCCCTGGTGGTGCGGTGGTTAAGCACTCAACTGCTCACCGAAAGGTCGGCAGTTCAAACCCACCCGCTGCTCCACAGGAGGAAGATACGGCGGCTTGCTTTCGTAAAGATTATGGCCTTGGAAATCCTATGGGGCAGCTCTACTCTTTCCTACGGGTCGCTGTGAGTCAGAATCGACTCGATAGCAGCACGTTTGGTTTTTGGTTTATTGTCATCCAAACAAGCATTCCTACTGGAAGCCTCCAGGGCGGGGCAGATACTGCTGGTTGCCTATCCAATACCCAGTCTCCCCGTCTTCCTTATAGGACCTTGATTTTATTCAGAGCAGCAATGTGCCCTGTTAAAATACACATTTCCGCTACCTTTACAGTTAAGTGTGGGTAGGTGGAAGAGTTTTGACCCTGGAAGTGTAAGCAGAAGTTGCTTGATGGGGCTTCTGGAAAACCTCTAATAAAAGGGACTGTCATTCACTTTTGCTCCTTGCTTTTTCTTCATGTCTGGGAACGTAGATATAATGCTGGAAGAAGAGACATTATCTCGCAGTCAGTAAGTGACAAGGATGAAGACAAAAGCCACATATGGCAAAGACTAAGCTGAAAGAAGGAACCACTACCCTGGACTTGGTTTGCTTGCCTCGGGCTTGTTACATGAGAAAAAATTAGACTCTGTTTGGTTAAGCCACTGTAGACGGGTGCTTGCTCCATGCAGCTGAACATAATCCTAACTGTTACAAAGAACTTTTACAACCAGATAATGACAGAACAAAGCTGTCCAGAATATCCCTGTCCAACAATATTTCCAATAAACTGCACCACCTCTGTGAAAGCAGAGCCCATACTCTGAATACTGTACGAATACGCATTTATATCTGTGCCTTCCTTCTTGATAAACAGCTCCTTTAAATGGTCGGAGCCATAGTTCAAACTATGAGAGGGGAGTCACTGCTTTTGTTTTTTGTTTCTTTGGCTTTGCTAACATGTGACATTTATTAAGAACTTGCAGAATTGCTAAGGCAAGAACGCCTTGGCTACAGCAAAACAAACCTAGGTCATTTTACCAAAATTTACTTTCGAGACTCTCTGAGGGAGAATTAGCCACCTTCCCAAATCTTGCTGTGGACGAAGGGTATTCTTCCTTGACTTTCTCATTCATTCAGCTATTAAAAGATAATGCAGCTATCATGATGGCTGGAATAACTTACTGAGCCAAAAGTTGAGTGGGAGGCATACCCCAAGATCAATTCCAGAGGGATTAAGGATTTAATTGTGAAAAGTCAAACTTCAAAACTTTTAGAAAAAAACACAGGAGGACATCGTTCTGACCTAAAAACGGAAAAGGCGTTCTTAAGGCACAAAAGTGCTAACCATAAAAGAAAAGATTAGTAAATCTGCCTACTGTAATATTTATAGCTCAGTCATCAAAAGGAATGATGAAGAAAGCAAAAAGACAAACCAATATCTGAAAGACATTTGCAACACATAAAACCAGCAAAAACACCAGTACGCAGATTACATAAAGAAATGTTACAAATTACTAAGAAAAAGAAAACACAATGGAAAAGTGGCAACAGATCAGAAGGGCATGTCTGAGCGAAGAAAAACATTAAGTGGTAGGTGGACTTATGAAAAGACGTGCAACCTCATTTGTAATTAGGAAAATGCAAACGAAACTCATGATGGGAGCAGAAGTTAATATAACCACTTGGGAACAAGTTAACCTTATCTTACGAAAATTGAGTGTTCACAAACTAAGCAAATCCATACCTACATATATTCTCTACAGAAACTTGCATATTTGTACCGGAGAATATGCACGAAGTGTTCCTAATAGCTTTATTCTAAACAACAAAAAGCTAGATTTAACACAAATGCTCATCAACAGGACAACAAAGAAATAAACTGAATTATATTCACACAGTTGAAAATTACACAACAGAGAAAATCAATGAACCACAGCTACACGCAACAATTTGGATGAATTTTAGAAACATTTTAATGAAAAGAAGCAAGTATCAGGTGACTACGTACAAAAGGATAACTTTATATATAAAGCTAAAACTGCAAAATTAAACAATATTTTAGGGAAACTCACGTGTAATACTTTTTTTTTTTAATAATTCTATCTCATTTGGAGATAATTCTATCTCAGAAGCACTTACTGATGAAGATCAAAGACCACAGCCTTCATTCAGTTTGGATTATATCTCAACATAAAGAAAACAAAAATCCTCACAACTGGACCAATAAACAACATCATGATAAATGGAGAAAAGATTGAAATTGTCAAGGATTTTACTTGGATCCACAATCAATGCCCATGGAAGCAGCAGTCAAGAAATCAGATGACACATTGCATTGAGCAAATCTGTTGCAAAAGATTTCTTTAAAATGTCGAAAAGCAAGGATGTCACCTTAAAGACTAAGGAGAGTGTGATGGTTAAGACTGTGTGTCAACTTGGCTGGGCCATGATTCTCTGTGTTTTAATGTAATCACTCCCATGATTGAATATACTG